TCGAGGACGAATTGGTTCAGATCGGAGGCTTCCAAATCTTTCGAGCAGATAGACCTCCAGTAAGGAAAACTAAAGGTGGAGGCTTCATCACTTACGTGCACTGGTCGTGGTGTAACTCCACCAAATGCATATTCACTCACTGCACACAAAACATTTCTTGTATTTCTGTAGTACTGTAAACCACTTTTTCGCATGCATCACTCTTCGGTCATCTTTTCAAACCTATACATCACTCCTGACTGTACTCCCAGTGAGTTATCTATCTTCCTGGATGTATTCTATCCGATCATGTTGAAGAAATCTGTCACATCTGTATTCATTGTTGCTGGCGATTTCTACAGATCTGATGTGAGATTATACAAACATTATGTTCCTTCAGAACATTGTTAATTTTTCCACTGGAAACGATGCCTACTTGGATCACTTTTTCATTTACGAAACATCTTTTTATCGTACCTTCAAACGTGCACCAGTAGGCAATTCCGATCACTATCTGATCAATGTTTTACCTACAATATATGGTAAATGCAAGCAACAAATCTTGATGAACAACAATGCACGTAGGATGTTTACGACAAAATTATCTGACGAATTACAATCCACTTACAACAATATCTTCGATCATGACATTTTAGTTTTCTGTTAGAATCTTACCAATTACCTCAACTANGGCCACCTTTATCGTTTGACTACCATCACCGCCTCTGTACACCAAAAAAAATAAAATCTACGCATTGCAAATCCTCAACTATTGTTATAATGGAAAGGATTCATCTACGAAAAATGAAGGCTGCTGAACTAAAAAAAAACACATCATTCACTAAAGTAAAGTCCAATAATTTAAAGAACAACTTATGGGGAGAACGAAGGCCTTATGCAGTCTAGGAACAATGTTTCATCCTACTCGAGTGATAAATTTGCCATTACGTAAAGGGTCTTGTCGAGTTCTATCGGTAGCCAAAGAGGTCGACGGAGGTGTGCTGTCAGAGTATAGTTGTACGAATTCAATAACCAAATAAAACAATGACAATAACGTATGTGACGAATTGGTGAATTTCATCACTAGTGGTTTCATCACCAACCGAAGTGTAGATCTTGAGCGTGAACAGTAAAACAGGATTAGTTACTATATGGAGCTAAAAAGAAGCACAAACTTCCGGTATAATGCGTGATTAGATCCTTGACCCCAGATCACGAGATTTATCTGTCCAATGGATACTTTTACTTGACTGATGGTCGTATCCAAACATGCCTTGTTGGCTGATTGATTGATTGATTGATTGATTGAATGATTGATTCACCCACAGTCCAACCGCTTCATCTCTGGTAGACTGAAATGGTTACGTAGGCTGAAAGAAAGGGCGTATCGCTCGAGAGATAAACTGACGGTCAAATCGGTCAAATTTCATATTAGAAGCGAGATAGCTCATCTCAATCAATTCTATGTTGACACCGTGCTAGGAGACATGTCCTGCCGTCAGCTATGGAACGGACTGAATTTGCTCCATGGTCTTTCAACTTTACCTACTACAGTCTCATGTGATATCAATGAGCTCAACAAATCATTTGCTTCAGTAAAAATGTTGTGTAAGCTTTACCGAGTTCAAATACAAAGTCGCTCGATTTCCACCTTCCTGTGTCTGTCACAACAGGACAAGTTTTAAAGGAGTTAAATGCTGTCAATGGACATAAATCCGCTGGTCCTGATGGGTTATTCACAGTGGTCCTTAAAACATGTGCAAACCATCTCGCACAAACCGTTTCATTTATCTTTAATACATGTCTGTCAGAGGGAAGATTAATTGACACATGGCGTGATGTTTACATCACTCCAGCACGTAAGAAACAAAAGGGTAAATTTCGGCCTATTGCTTCATCTTCAGTATTACTTAAGACTTTTGAGTGTGCTATTTTTAAGCACTTATCCTCTTATCTTGATTTTCGTGATTTCAAGCAGTTTGCTTATTGTAAGCGTCGCTCTACTTTAGATGCGGTTGGTTGTCTTATACATTCTGTTTTATCCACTATAGACCAAAAACACAAAATTGTTCATGTTTGTTTCTTGGATTACACAAACGCCCTTAACTCTGTCATTAGAAACATCCTATTGTCACTTTTACAGCAACATAATCTCCAACCACATCATTTGAATTGGATACACGACTATTTTACCGACCGACGCCAAGTCACTTGTCTCAATAGTATTAGGTCTAATGTTCTCCTTTTATATCCAAAAACTGCCAGTTACCCCTAATGTTTTCACATTTAAATATGCGATGACACAGTAGTTGGTGGTGCATCTCACAACAACAACCCTTCAACGAACCCTCTTCAATCAACCATAAGTTCCATTTCTCATTGATCCGATGGTGTTAGTCTCTCTTTAAATCCCGAACAAATGCACTGAAGTTTTGTTTTCCATTAGCCGTAGACCATCAACACTTTCTGGTTCATTTGTTCCCAATATCTTGATCAATAACTTAAAAGTTAAAAGGTGAAAACACTTCAAGCGTCTTGGATGTTTCCTGTATGCTGACCTCAAATGGTCCTATCAAGTAGAATAAACATTTCTTAAAGTCAGAAAGTTGACCTTTGATATTTCACGCCTTCGACATCTGAGGGTGCCATTGTACATCATTTCTAAATTTATTTTCTCGTGCGTTTTATACCGTTAAACCCATTGCTCTCTCATTATGTTCCACGGTCTACTATCTAGGGATTTCATATTAAATAGATGCTCTCTGAAAAGCATCTCTGGATATGGAGCTGTATTCCACGAGGAGCTGGTTGTTTCCAACAGACACCTTAAGGTGTATAAGCGTCTGTGTGACTGTATCCTGTTGGATGTATCACATTCTTTACATTCAGACTTATGGCGCAGCATTTCAATTTGTGTCACCTGTGAAAAGTTTAAACCTTTATATACCTGAACCACTGCTTTTCACAACTCCGTTGTACCTTACCTTTCACGTTTATTGGTTTCCAGGGAACGGATATCAAACGAAATTATGCACAATCTAATGTAAATTTTCATGCCGAAATTTTCCTTATTATTTTACGCTTTCTCAGTGTCCGATTCATTATCATCTCAGTA